TTTAAGTGGACAGGCAAGAGTCCACAACCTGCAGCCAGAGGATAATTAAGGAGGCCCTGCCCATCTTGAGGGTTGAGCCATATGAATAGGAACAAGACTAGAAGCAAAACAGGGGAGAAGATAGGCAGGATGCAGTGTCTAGTCATTTCTTTGTCAGGCCTTGGAGACAGGTTTTACCTGATCCTGAGACTTAGGTGTGGACAATACATTTGGAAGCCCTGAACTTGGGGCTGGTGAACTGTTTATTGTAAAGATTCCTGGCCTGAAATGTGATTAAAACAAGAGGGCATTTTGTTAAAATATGGAAGCTCCTTCTTGCCCCTGAGACCTACTGCTGCTCTGCTTAGGGAAATTAAGGAGGGAAATTAAAGAAGAGTACACCAAGCTGCAAGAGGGCACTCAAGGACAACTTGCACCTTTACCTGGAGACAGAGTTTTTAAATGAGTTATACAGTTTACCTTGGATTTCGTTTCCTGGAGCATATTTATCGGAAGATAGAGCAATAATATATGGTGGAGTGGATTGCTGTGGTTCACCTCCATGCTCTGGTAGCATAGTATCACAATCTATTGTAGAGATTCCATGTAGTAAACAAAGGACTCTTGGCAAAAATGCCCCACACAGCACAATCACGAAGAAGGGATATCTGCCCATCTCTGGAAAAACAGAAAGCATAGAGGAGTTGTTATGGCTATGTGTACACTTAAAATGCAACAATAGTGCAGCTGAGCCCCTGTAGTGCTTCAGCGTGGCACTTACTATAGCAACAAGAGAGGTAACAGTCCACTTACAAGAGAAGCAGTAGCTAAGTCGATGTGTGAATTCTATACAGGATCTTGGGTCAGATTAACTATGTCACTTGGGCATGTGGATTTTTGAGTCTTGGGTCAGATTAAGTATGTCACTTGGGCATGTGGATTTTTGACACCACGGAGCAATATAGCTGAGCTCATCTGACTTTCTAGCATAGGCCAGCCTTTCTTTTATCAAACTTGTGCTGTCTATCCCAGGAGTTAGGCTGGTTTAACTACTTCTTGTGGGTGTGGATTTTTCACACACGTGAGAATGTAGCTTTGCTAATGTAACTTTTCACTGTAGACAGCCCCTATCAACAGATGTTGTACTTGCATCCATTCCCCAGACCAGAAAACCTAAACCAGAATAAACCTAAAACGTTTGATTTCCATCGCATTCATATTTTTGCAGAAAACAAGTTAACACAAAAGGGCCTATAAATATTTATCACACCAGTTCAGTAAATGATCTTAACTAATATTTACTCTTAGACAATGAGCTTCCTTTAATTGAAGGCTCCAATTCTTTGGTTTTGTGATGGTCTCTCAAAATTAGAAAGAGACTTTTACTAACTCCCCAGGTTTGTGGATCTAGAGTTTTGGTTCATGGCCCTCTATAGTCAAATCACATCCAGTTTAAAACCCCCAGGCCCTCAGCATGCTTCTTGTTAAGAAAAGTCATGTCTGGTGGGGTCTCTTCCCATCCCTTCCACTGGCAAATGCTTGGCACGTTTTTTTTCTTAAATCTTTTATTTAACTCATAGTTTGTTGGGGGGGGGGGGGGGTTGTTACTGTATTTAGCCTGGATAAATTAAGATTAAATAACACTCAGAAGTTCAACTTCAGAAAAAAAAATGATGTGGAGCAGTAGTGAAAATACATCCATGTCGTAGAGAACTTCAATAAGACAAAAAGTTGGGGAAGAAGGAAGTATTCTTGTAAATCACTCCAGTGCTGGCACTAATGATACCGTCTCTTGAAGAATATGGAGAACATTTTCCAGAAGTTTGTAAAATTAGACTTTATTGCCCAACTGTCTAAGCAATCTTGATTTTGAGCCATATCAACACATAATTTGATGAGGTCATTAAATCTTATGAATATTCTACTTTGTGCCCACTATACAGTGCTGATGCTCTGTGAAATTACAAATGATCTTTAAAAGCCCTCCCTATTTCTCACATCTGGCTGTTGGTAGGTTCTCTTTGGCTTACATGTACAGCTGCAGAATAAATCAAAAAGGAGAAATTGGATCAAGCTTTTTTAATGAGGACTGCACTGAGGGACCAGCAGGGGGAACATCTTTGCCCAACTTGCTGCAGCTTTGCCCAACCACCAGCCTTACCCATTCACCCGCACTGTCAAGCCCTGGAGTCCCCTCTCACCTCTAGTGGAAGAGAGGCTGGTGAACAAGAATTTGTCCATTCACCCGCACTGTCGAGCCCTGGAGTCTCCTCTCACCTCTAATGGAAGAGAGGCTGGTGAACAAGAATTTGGCCAGCAGTAGAACCCACTAATAATGATGGGAGGGACGAGACAGAGAATATGGGGCAATTTGACCTTAAAAAAAAAGTAGGGACACCTGCTGAAGGATTAAATCCACTTTAAAAATGGGACAGCTGGTCACCCTAAACATGTCTAAAGCAATGGCATGTTTTTTAAAGAGGAGACTCTCTCTCAAAACTTTCCTGCAAAATGCCATTTAAATGGAAATCTTGTAAGTAGTATGATCAGATACATTCAGGAGGGTGCAGTTATTAACTTTCCTGTGACAATTTTGACTCGCCCCACTTCTTATTAACATTTAACTACAGCATGCGGTGCTATTGTATTAACTGTTGTGATCATCAGTAATTTAATGTGAACTTGTCTTTGTGTTGTTGAGATTCGTCTTTCTGAGTCACATCACAGGTAGAAGTGGATTGGTTTCTAATTAGCTGCTTTGTTTTTAAGCATAGCCATCATGCCATTTAAATTAGCTGACACTAGAAAATTCACCCTAACATATTCTGTGGCTGTTCTTCAGTGAGATGTACTCTGGTCTGTCATGCAAAAAAATTGGGCTTCAGTCTCTTATTTTCTCATTTTCTGGATTCTAAGGAGCTAGGGACCAAGGCAGCCTGCTGATTATTAGAGTTAAGGGCTTCCCTCTGCTTCAGTCCTGTGATCCTTCAGATGAAAAGCAGTGCAAAGAACTTGTAAAGAGAAGTCCATTAATTCTGGCTAGGAGAGAAACCCATGACATGGCATCTTGGGGTGTGGACTTTTGTTGACAAAACTATACCTGTGTCTACACTGCCACTGAGTTCTGTCAACATAATGTCGACAGAACTCAGCAGTTTTGTCGATGGCTGTAAACCTCATTCTATGAGGAATAACACCTTTTATCAACAGAGTTCTGTCGACAGAAGGCGTTTTTGCATCTACACTGTCCTTTGTGTCTACACTGTCATGTCGACAAAGCAGCTTGCTTTGTTGACAGAACTGGATGTAGTCTAAACGCTCTTTGTCGACAGAAGCTTTGTTGACAAAAGCCTGTAGTCTAGACTTACCCTCGGAGAGCTAGGTTAAATATGAGTAAAAATAGTGGGATATCTTAACATGCTATTAAATTCCAAGCCTGGACTAGGTATCCCAAATGAAAAAATAACTCCCATGGCAACTTTACTTTAGGACAGAGATTCCAGTGAAATAATGCTCTCTTGCTGGCATCAAGCTATAATTTTCTCCATGAAAACATCTTTCTGCTACAAATTAATATTTGTCAAATTCAAACCGGCAAAATGTTTAGAGAAAAGTGTTATTTTCATGCTTCTAAGAGGGCTTCTCCCCCCCAAAAAAAAACATTAATTGTGCCCTCAGGTGCATATGCATCCGTAGTATCTCCTGTTCTATACTGTTCATATCTGATGGCAAAATTCTAATTCTTTGCCTTGTTATTCCCATTCTGGATACACTCTCTTCTAAATACAAACATTCCCCTCTCTACAGTCTCTAATCCCTTGCCTTTTGAAACCTCTATTCACATTTAATTTAGCATAACTCCACACCAATGGAAGTCTTCTTGTAGATATATTTAATTAGTAAAATATCGACCCTTCCACTACCCCACATCTGGGGGGCTCAGATATAGACAATTTGATGGCTTTATTCTCATTGTCCCATAGAATCTTGGGAAAGACTAAAATTGTTTAAAAACAAAGCCTTAAACAATAATGAACAATATCACTTTGATTAAATTGAAACATTTTCCTTTGAAAAATAGCCTTGAGGAGCTCTTCCATGCTTGCAATTTAGGTGTCTATCTAAAGCTCCCCAAACCAAGAGACACTCTTCTCCGAGACTCATTCTTTTCAAACATCCTTCTCTTTCCCATGTTAATCCTAAATCCTCTGTGTTAGCCATAAATACACTCTAAAACCTTTGAGAACAAATAGCACCTGATCAGAGTGCATCTTCCCTCCAAAATCCTAGCAAGGTACCTTATTTGTTGAGTCCTGATCAGTGAACAATCTCTCGTCCCTCTGTAGTCAGGGTGAAACAGCTGCAGCTGTGAAGTGCAACAACCTGAGCAAAGAGAGAGAAATCAAGGCAGAAGAGGGAAGATCCACCAATCACAGACAGGGAGGGGGAAAGAAAGCAGCCAATCAGTGACACTGACATCTCCACCTTGGAAATTAGGACACAACAGATGGAATTGTCCCAACCAGATGGAGTAATAACAACTCATACTGATCACAAATGAGTCACGCTTTCTCTGACTTTAAAACCATGACTGCTATTGGGATACATAGAACTGCTGAGAGGTGATGGCTTAAAGCAAAATTGATTGGCTATGAGAAAACATACATATAAGAGACATTAATATTTCACAAGGATCGCAAGTTCTCTGTCCCTTCAGACTTCAGCTTTTTTACAGCAGGGAACATTCAAATCAGTTATGTGTATGTGTATGCTAGTTAGTACCTCCTGCTTCCTCCCTCTCCCGCAGATCCAAATAAGTATGGATTGTGTCACCTGAAATTTAAAAAAAAGGCTTTGTGGGAAGGTATAATGCTAGCAGTGTCATGACAGTGCACAATTCATAATTAAGTGGTACCATAAAGCTAGTTACATGCCTGTCTTTGCTATAATATTGGTAAGACATTGTACAAAGGCAGATAGATGAGACTTAGGTCGTTAGGTCATGAGACTCTGGCTGTAAACACCGTATCTTGATCCTCTAAGGAATATAAGTACATCAGAAGCAGGAAGCCTGCTAAACAGCCAGTGGGGCCCCTGGACGATTGAGATACAAAAGGAGCACTTAAAGATGATAAAGTCATTGCAGAGAAACTAAATGAATTCTTTGTTTCAGTCTTCATGGCTGAGGATGTTAGGGAGATTCCCAAATCTGACCCGTTGTTTGTAGGTGACAAATCTGAGGACTTGCCACAGATTGAAGTGTTATTAGAGGAGGTTATGGAATTAATTGATAAACTTAACAGTAACAAGTCACTGGGACCGGGTGGAATTCACCCAAGAGTTCTGAAAGAACTCAAATGTGAAATTGCGGAACTATTAACTATGGTATGTAACCTATTCTT